TCGAATTTTGGCTAAAGCCAAAATTCTGTTGGTAGATTTTTCCGTCGAGAAATTCGCTGTAGCAGCCCGGAGCCTGAAGTCTTCATTGTTTTATCTCCGTGCTCGTAAAGCATGTAAAGCTGTTGGTCCTGCCAGGTGCATTTCTATACGGTCTTGTCGGATGGCCGTCCCATGTGATTATGACAGTGAGGGAATAGAGAGTGCACCTGTACTTGGGCACACACTCGTGCACTATGATCCTGTCTTGCGCAGATCCAGACCGGCCCGGCAAGACCGGCCACCGTGATTGAAATTCGATCAGGAGCATGTTGTATGTTATTTAACAGACCCATGTTAACTCAAGGGGTAAACGCTTGCCGTAATTTCTACGGTACGCTAGCAACCTGGGTTCGATCCCCGCCGAAAACAACGGAATTTAGTTAGCAAAATTGCAACCAACAAATGGTTTACGTCATAAGCTCACTCAGCCTCGATTATATTTTTTTTAAAGTCCTACTGAGTTTCTTGCTGGTACGTTCCAGGACAAAGGTATTTTCCCACCCAGTGGTACTTTAAATTAGTATTTATATAGATAATATATATATATATATATATATATATATATATATATATATATATATATATATATATATATATATATATATATATATATATATATATATAAAAAGTATCTGCTTATGTTTCATCCAAGTTACCAGAGCTTTCACGAAATATTAATTAAAAGAATTCTGTTTATGTACCAGTGGTTCAAAAAAACCTCTGATCTTACCATAACCAACACAAAGTCCAGAGGGATAATATTTTGATGAAATTTTTCAGTATTTTATGAACTATCTTAGAAATCACTCGAAAAATGGCAGCAAAATGTCTTTATATCACCACACGATATAAAGCAACATAAAATAAAAATATAGAAACGTTATTCACGTATGTATTGAATTCGAATATTTCATTCTCCCTCTGTGCAGCGTGTGCTCGTAAATTGTATGATATTGCAGTTTCATTTAGATACGTTTTTGTTTTTTAATATTGAAATTAACATTAAAAAAAATGGATACAATTTGTTTAGGCATATTAGAATTATAATATTCAATATCTAAGGCGATAAAATACCCTATAATCTTCCCGTGAGTGTCGTAACAGTTGACAGAGGAAAAAAATTGTATGGAGATTGTACCAAGACCCTTTTTTACTGGAAACGAGGCCTTCCATCTTATTTCTCAGGGGTAACAACGCATCTGCATTTTAGTTCTTAATCGATGATAGATGCAAATGCCTATGTACCAAAGCATCCACCCACCATCATGTGCTCACTTGTCAATTTTTTTTCTATACAAAAAAGATTGACAACAGCATCTTCCTTACGATATCTCAAAATAATAAAAACTGCGGCTGTGCAAAATATCGCCCTTATGAAACAATTTATGGGAGAGACATCCAAATAACTAAAGAGAATGAAATTATTTTTAATAATAGCTTCTGAAGTCGTTTCTGGGACTGTAAATTAAGTTACATCTTATATACGACCAACTTCTGGACACAGTCCTTCTCTCACTTCCGAGAGAATTTTAAGGTTTCTTTGGCGTAGCCTTGTGTATAGAAGAATTAAAGCTCCCGACTTCAGAAGCCATTAAGTAAAAGAAATCATTTTGTTCTTTTTAGTTATTTGTAGTCGATTTTTACTATTTATCAAAAGTTTAAGAATTGACGCTTTTGAGTGGACTAAGAAATATCACGCAAGCATAAACCTTTTTTTTATCGTGGGGATATCCTCACTGATACTTTCCGCTGCGGGGGCAAAGAATTATGCCGGACTCCTGCCATCATAAACGATAGACTTACGTATTATACTACTATCAATGTTTACTGCAATTAATTTCAATTATATTTTATTGAAGTAGGTATTTTAATTTAACAAATATAATATTGTAAAATAAATAAACACAATACTGGAAATAGTACGGTACTTGACACAGTTTAAAATATCTTTACACATAAAATAATTACGTCTACTCAATAATGAAATTAGTGTTGGTCATTTCCTGGACATATTGTATAATTTATAAATTACTTATTATTTTTTAAAACAAGGAGGTTTAATTTGGTTTTAATGCAAAACGTAATATGATTTTTGTTTAAGTGTGTGGCTATTAAAAATTTATCAATAATATTTTAAAGTATGAATATATTTTCTGTTGAACTGTATTTGGGGTGGAAAAGCGGAACAACAATCATAAAGTGAATTCCGATAATACACCTCATCTAGGGTGGATAAATGAGTATATAACGAATGGACAACAAGAATCCACCCTGAGTTGGATTTCTTAGTGTGTAATTTGTGTGACAAACGGTACACAATCCACTGTATGGTGAGTGGATGATGATCCATAGACATCTCAATCTATCCTCGACTAAGAATCAAAATACACATGCGTTACTATATAAACATTTGAATAAATAGATTCACACATGGCGAATATATTACGTCGTCCTACAGGCAAAAAGACACCCTACGATCTTAAAAAATCCATGGTGTCTTTTTATAGGATAACAACCGGTTCCGGATTATAGGATAACAACCGGAACCGATTTGGATATATTTTCCAGATAATCCCACGGTAATCGACGATGATCAGATCAGGATCTGATGATGGGATCTTGGAGAAGTCGGGGGCACTCTTCAATAAATGACAGCAAATCAACCGCGATTGCTGCTATCGCCTATCTATGCATTCTTTACGCAATCACACAATATAATATCACGCCTGTACCCACTAAAGGGACATAACTCTAAACTAAAAACGGTAACATAAAAAACTTTTTTGAAAAAAAATATAACAATTTCTAAAACAAACACAAAAAAGTGTAACATAATTATGTTTTCTGTATGTTTTTGTATTTTACTGTAGGTTATGCAAATATTACTGCAGGTACTATGTATTCTAAATAGGTATTTACTTTCCATAGCTAGTTAGCTATAATAGCCCGCAGGCAACTCCCCGACCCCGAAGTATGTCAGCCAGTGTCAGGATAACTGCTTTTTCGGCAGCGCGATTTTGATGAGTGTGGCTTTTATATAGGTAAATTAAATAAAAAAAATGTTAGTTTGTAAATTGTTTATTGATTGTTTGTGTTCAATAGCGGTTTGAAATATTCTCTTAGTACTTAGAAAGTTATTAACAACAGGCATTGTGTCACTGCAGGGACAAGCACAAACGTCTATCAAAATAGTAACGTATATAAACGGAATACTAACAGCATAGACTTCCTTACAGAAGTCCAAAGAACACGTCTAGGCAAGGTAAGTAATTAGAAGAAAACTACAATTTAGAGATCGATTGTAAATCAAATTCACAGTACAGACACAATTAGCGAAATATGAATAAAATTTTTATTTATTTTATGATAGATAACGCTAGTTGAAAACTAAACACTGTATGGGAATGGCATCACTGAACGAGTCAGGTGATCAGTCCAAACAAATAAAAGGCGCGATTGTAGAAAGAAATTCGTTACTTGGTCGGGGCTTGACCTGTTTATGCTATTCATAACGAAGGCTATAAATATGTAGGTATAACTTAGAAACTAAATCCTATGTGTACTTATCTGTATTCATAACCCAATATCTAAGGTAGGTTATTCTGTAATAAAAGTAAAGTAAAGTAAAGTTACAGCCTATATACGTCCCACTGCTGGGCTCAGGCCTCCCATCATTTCTGAGAAGGTTTAGGGCAAGGAAGTGTCCGCCGCGCTGCCCAAATGCATGTTGACGAACTTCACATGTCTTCGAAATATTTTTTTCTTATTCCTCAGACATGCAGGTTTCCTCACGATGTTTTCCTTCACCGCCGAGCACGTGGTAAATCAGCACTTAAAATTGCAATTAACAATTTCATTGGTGCCGGCGGGGATCGAACCCGGGTTACTCGCGTTCTGTTATATTTACAGCGGGCGTTAACCACTGAGCTACCACGGCTCTGTAATAAATTAAATCTAATCCAAAATATAGGTACTATAATACCATATCAAAGCTACTACTATTTTTTTAGTAGTAGCTTATATAGTAGTATAGTAAATTATATATAAAAAAAATATGAGTATGTCTGAGGTAAGGTTAAATATAAACAAATATTTTGCCAAGTGCGAATCGGACTTCCGAGCTTCCGAGATTACAAGATTTAAATATCCTATACATATTACTATCGATCAAAAAAGCCAAAAATACACGTTTCTTTTTCTAGTAGAAAATCCTTTAATTTCAACAATAGGTATATTAGGATATGAGATTCCTATACGTAAGCACGATTATCGAAAATCTAAAAATTACCAATTCTAATTCAATTAATAGATAATTTTAAGATTTTCGATAATCGTGCTTATCTATGAGATGTTTTCGTTAGTTAGCAAATTAAAGTAGTTAAGTACCTAATGTACTATCTGTATCGAAAGTTCATTATTATGTACCAACTTGTTTTCAATTTTAACTAAATGTGCTTCAACAAACTTATGGGAACATTTTAGCAGCTATATTCATACCGGCTTCAGCAATGGACACGAACAAAAAAAAGGAAGCAATTTTTCTAAATAAAGATGTAGATAATTACAACCATAAATAGATAGCAGCGGCTAACCTAGTGAGTATGTTTGAGTGCGCGCTGCGTCCCCCCTCCGTCCGTCCCACTGATCGGGGAAATAATTTGTAGCGAAAGGCAAGATGTTTTATAACAAAAACGGGCGCGCGAAATTTTATAAACAGACCTTTGGTAGTCTGGATGTAACGAAAAATCTATTGAATGTATCATCTGTTTAAAATAAAATTATTTGCATTTTTGAACAACTAATCTATCCCTGTATGGTAACTGTTTTGCAATTTTCGTTCTTCTTATGGTATTTATTTCCGCCCAAAGATTTAGCGCCAGAAGACTTTTAAATATACTCTTTTTTTACTTTTTTGTTTCCATACAGGGCTAGATAATGATGAGACCAATTGAAATCATTTTTTATTTTGAACGTACACCATCAAACAGTGGAGTTATCGCCGGACTACGTTTGTGTGTACCCATAAGTCGACACTTTAACTCCGCTATGCTATCTTCGACCTTCGACGCTCCGGGTTGACTCGGCAAGTCCGTTGCCTGCTGCTTAAGACATGCGATCCTTTTCTCGACGTCGCTAACCCTGTTACTTATTTCACTAACATTAGAATTAATGTTAGTGATTTCCTGGCGAAAAGATACCATTTCGCGGGCAATAGTAGTCAACTGCTCGCGTATTAATTTTAGTTCGTTTGCTAAGTCGACATTAGTTTCACAGCGCCCTCCATCGTCGGCTGTGCACACCTCCAAGCTGTGCATCGCCGAACTCTGTGTCCGTGCCGCCCGAGCTACACGAACTGGGCGTAGCAATTGTGTTCACCCCACTCGCACATACATTTTTTTGCCTTACAACCGCTGCATTACCATTTATTTGATATTCGGCCGTAGCGGTGGGTAGTAGCGGCTTCTTTGAGTAACGAAACGAATCTATCTATCGAATATCAATAGCGGCTTTTGAAACACTCTATTTTAATAGAGGGTTTGGAAACACTCTATTTTAATAGCGGCTTCAATAGAGTGTTTCACGACGTGTTCAATTGCAAAACGTTGCGACCTTTGTTACCGTTTCGTATAGAATTAGACATGGTGTTAATGGTTAAATTTATTTATTTGTTAAATCAGTTCGCACGGTTTGATAAAAATATCACTTCGAAGTACACTGGCATTACTTCGAGACATTTTTGATAACAATCACATAAAGTTTTAGTATTATTTTTACACTTAGTTATTTACACTAATTACTGTACAATTATTATTATCAACACTAATATATACAATTATATTTAGTTCTTATTTTACTAAAAAGATTATTATTGTTGCACAAAAAAGGAAACAAACGCGCCTAAAAAGTAAAAACAAACCGTGTCATTAAACTTAAACAAAAGACTAATGTAAACCGGGCCAAGGCCCTTTAAATTATGGTATTTGAACTATTTTTTGTTAAAAACATGTACACTTACTTTCTCATTTCTAATATCGCATCTATACGAAGGAAATAGAGTCATAGGTCAAATGCAAAAGCACACGCGCTCACTCGACTTTCGACAACCGGTGGTACTTCTACCACAGAATAAAAAGTCGGTTTTTTTACTCATGTGCTTCTACTTCAACAGCCGAAGCCGTCGCCGACGCGTCGCGAAAATAGCCGAATAAACGTTTTGTTACTGATCGCTCGTTCGTGATTCGTGAAACGTGAATCGTGTTACTGAGTAAAACGTCTACTGTAATAGATAGTTTCGTTGCACTGCAATAACCCGCTACTCGCTATTGTGTGAATAGATAGTTTCAGTAACTAGTTACGTTTCGTAACGACCACTCCTATTCGGCCGTCAATAGGAATACTAGCACATTTGCGATGAAATAAATGAGTACAATTTGAGCACTTTATCGAGTCAATTGTAGAAGCAAAACGACCACAAGCGCCGCACTTGTTTGCCATTTTTATTGACAAGTACTTTATTTAGATGAAAGTTAGACCAATAGATGTCGCTGTGCGAAGTTTGTATTAATTATGTAATTTGATATGTATAATTATAAGAATGTTTAATAATTAGCGATTTACTATATACTATTCACCTTGTTTACATTTAACTATTTAAGGTTTGTTAAATAACTTAAATGTTTATAGCAGCAATTTGCAACACGGTTTAATGACAAACAGCTGATCTTGTTACGAACAGCTGATCACTATTTTGCACTGTAACAACCAACGACCACTGTTTTCACTTTATTCTACTAATGTATCTTATAACACTACTAAAATTGTTCTTAAATATACTTGTTTACTAATTAAAAATGCTGTTTTATATTTAAAATAATTTTTAATACGGGACACAAGCACTTGACAGCCGACCAAGCTACCCGCCTTAGTTATTACTCTAATTGGAATATAAATATCTAATAAGGACATGAAATAATATAAATTTAAGGATTCCATATGGATGATAATACCCCCTGGATTTTAAGTTATCGATACCAAGATATTTCTAATTTGTTTTGTGTAGTAAATTGTGTAGTAAACATATATTCATATGATTGCAGGGTGTTCTTTTTTCAAAAGTATTATACAAATAAACTGTGGTGAATTAAATATAAGTGTAATTGCTCGTATAAGGGAGCCTCGATAAAATAGAGCGGGTTTGCTGGCGGGATGTTAACTGGAGAGCATACAGTAGCAGTTAGATGAGCAATAAATAACACTTCTTGAGAGTTTCTTCTTATTTTATTTCTTGATTCCTTATTATTACATTGCCGGATTTGGAATATTTTACCACGAAAAAACGCCCCTTTTTATAAGCGGCTGTAACCAATCATAATTAAGAAAAAATCGCACACGGCATTAGTGAATCTATTGACCAATCAGAGCACAGAATAACCCTTTCTAAGAGAGATTTACAATTTCCTTAATAAACGTGGTAAAACATACCTTACAACATTTATATTCATTCCTAACGATAGATACAACTTATTTCTATTATTCTAAACCTAAATTATTCAATAAACCTTCATTTTACACTTATAAAAAATAAAAATAGCTTCGCGGTCGCTTCACGGTTTGGCTCCGGAGTAGGATAGTATTTTTTGCCGAACATACAAGTAGCGCCGCCAAGAGGTAGGAATGTACAACACTTTTTCAGGAATAATGCTTAAGAATCTATACAATATTTTCATAAAATTTAAATTTTTCTCATAATGAAATGACATTATATAGTTATTAATTGACATATTAATGTTTCTTTTGAATTACTTTAAAGGAGAAAGAATTATATTAATCACCTATATGTTAATAGCTCTTAAAGTTATGATAAAAGAAATCTTACTAGAAAATAAGCTTATACTTGCGTCTAATGTTCTAATCAGACCTAAATAATATTAAATAGATTCATATAAGTTACTTTAAGATAAGAATAGAAGTGTTTAATTTACTTTCCTGTTTTCAGCACTAATCAGTCTTTACACTTAGCTTTATTTTACGAATAGGAAACAATTAAGATTAAATACTATCACTTAGTTTTAAATCACTGATAAGGAATAATTAAGATTAAATGTTCGAATTCACTTTGTCGTCGCTAACATTCTCCCCCACGGTGCGTAGCACTGCATCCTCTGGAGGCGACGACTCCGCTGGCACCAGCACGATGACACGTCGAGTTGGGCGGCGAAGTATTCCACCTGATGTCCGCACGTCCAGCACCCTGGTTCTTCCGTCTGGTCCGGGATAGGTTTTGACGATTTCACCGCGAGGCCATGAGTTTCGCGGTAATGTGGCGTCCACTATTAGCACGATGTCTCCTTCCCTTGGGTCTCTGGTTTCTTTCCCTTCGAGTTTCCTTGGCATCAGGAGAGGTAAGTATTCTTTAATCCACCTTTTCCAGAAGTGGTCTGCGAGTCTCTGGGTGGTTCTCCAGCTTGCCTTTCCGATGAGCTCCGTGTCGCTGAACTCTCCCGGCGCCATAGCTCCGCATGATCTTCCCAGCAGAAAGTGGTTCGGTGTTAGGCTTTCCTCGTATCCTGGGTCCATGCTGATCGGGGTGAGAGGTCTCGAGTTGACGATGTGTTCAACCTCAGTCATTAGCGTATGGAGTACTTCCTCGGGCGGGCTCTTCTCGTTGAGGACTACTGCTAGCGCCGTTTTGACTGTTCGTACGAGCCTCTCCCAGGCGCCTCCCATGTTTGGAGCTCCCGGGGGGATGAACTTCCACTGGATGCCCTTTTCCTGTGCGGCCTCTTCTAATTCCCTTTTCGCTCCGACGAAATTAGTTCCGTTGTCGCTATATATGGTTTTCGGAGTTCCTCTTCTGGCTGCCATTCGTCGGAGTGCCATGATCATTGAGCTGGTGCTGAGAGAAGGTACCAGCTCTAAATGTACTGCTCTAGTTGTGAGACAGGTAAATAAGGCTCCCCAGCGCTTCTCGTTCCTTCTTCCGATGGTGACTTGCATCGGCCCGAAGTAGTCTACAGCTGTGCAGGAGAACGGAAATTGATGATGCTGCAATCTTTCACTCGGCAGATCTCCCGTTGGTGGTATTTCTGGTGAACTCTTCTTTGTCTTGCACCATTGACAGCTGTGTGCGACCGCTTTTAGAGTTGCTCTTAAACCCAAGATCCAGAACCTTTGACGAATTTCGTTCATTACTGTAGCGGTGTTTCCGTGAAGGAATTTCCTGTGATAGTGTTGTATTATTAGACGAGTTATTTTTTGTTTTCCGTCTAAAATGATAGGGTTCATTATTCTTCCGTTTTGATCGTGGAATTTCATTGTTCTGCTCCTTAATTTAATTATTCCGTCGTCTCCAATGTAAACGTCGATTTTCTTGAGTCGACTCGAATTTTCTAATGGCTTTTCTGACTTCAGTTTTCTTATGTCTGATGCAAAACTATCGCTCTGGCTTATTTTTATTAATATCTCTTCGGCCTTTTTTAGGTGTTCCGCTTCTATGGGTGAGTATAGGCGCTTATTTTCACTTCTGCTGGTCGACGGGATTGAGGTTTGTGCTTCTTTCTTCTGGATTTTTTGTGGTTTCCAGGACTCATCCTTCTGGCGTGCGGCGGTGGTGGTCGCTTTACGGCTCTTCTTTAATAGGTGTTAAAGGCGATCACTCTGGCTGTAGTGCGCAGCAGTCGCTCCCAGCTCGAGAACCTTTCTAGGTTTAGTAGAGTGTCTTCTGCTGCCATTGTAGCCAACACCTTTTGCTTGCTTTTTTCTTCTGGCATAACAATTTCTGGCTTGAAGTCGTGGAATGGCCATTCTTCTTCTGGTTGACGGAGAAATGACGGGCCTTTGAACCATCTGGCGTTGTGGTCGAATTCGATTGGGGTTCCCCTCGTGGCGTCGTCCGCTGGATTCTCCTTGGTTGGCACCCATCTCCAGTCTTCTGGCTTGGACCTTTCTTCGATCTCGGCGAGTCGGTTGGCCACAAAAGTTTTGAACTTCCTTGGTTCTGACTTTATCCACTGTAGTACTGTGCTGGAGTCGGTCCAGTAAACCTTCTTCGATATGTCGAGCTCTGATTCCTCTTCGATTGTGGCGGCTAGTCTGCTTCCGAGTAAGGCCGCTTGTAGCTCTAGCCTCGGAATTGACACAGGTTTCGTCGGCGTTACCCTTGCTTTGCCGGCGATCATGGAGACATGGACCTTTCCTCCGGGCTCTACTATTCTCCAGTAGACTACTGCTGCATAGGCTTCTTCACTCGCATCGGAGAACGTGTGTAGCTGTCCTTTTCTGCCTTTGGGTGAGACGCATCTGGGGATTTTCAGCC